CCCCCCCCCCCCCACCCCTCTCCAGGGCTGCCCCCAACCACTTACATTTTTGTGATTGACCATCTTTAACAGTACAAGTTCCCTGAAGGCTCGTTTAGCATGAGTGACATTTTGAAATGGTCGGCTAAGCTTCTTGATGGCAACTTTCTCCCCTGTTGTAGTGTCTAATGCAGAGCTGAGAAACAAATTAAAGATGCAAACAATTACTATCTTGAAAAGTTTGTGCTTGCATAGTTTTAACAGTATTATAGCAGAATGTAAAGTATAATGAAGGGGTCCGCTGAAAATAGGGCCCTACGTGACCGTTGATGTAATGCCAAACTCTCCTTGTGTATCACAAGGGAAGAAAAGGAGAATCTAGCAATTTATTGGTAGTCATTTAGGGCTTTTTTCCAGCATGCATTCTATATTTTAGAGCTGGAGATCAGTTGGATCTAACCAATTTTCCCACAGTCTAATTGGCTGATTATTGATCACATGATGATGACCAAATTAAAAAAACTTGTGTATCCAACACAGGACACAATAAGTGATAAATAAACACCTGTAATGCATGCAAATTCAATATAATTTATTTAACTTGAGTTTATTAAGATGATGTTTGAAGGTTGGGTGATTGATCATCACGACAACGTCCTTTAGTTCACGGCCTTCGTTCTTCTCAACAGCGTTTCCCGTGACAAATATTGATAATCTAAGCAGAAAAAATGACCCCTCTTGATAATTTAGGAGTTAAGAATACAAATATCACAATAAACAGCCTGTTGTATTTGTTTACTGTTTCACTTATAAACATGACAATAACAGTAAAGCAAAATCATAAGACAATATGCAAAGAATTGACATTACAGTTTATTGCTCTTCTACAAAGCTATAAGAGGAATTTGGTCAAAAGGCTTTCAAGCACTTGGCTATTATTTCAATCCATGTAAACTATTTGCTTTCAGATGAAAATTTGAAGGCTGTACGTTTTTCACAGAGATATTAAAGATGGAAACTTTTGTCACTTGATACCCATACAAAATTCCAGCTAGGCAAAAATTAAAATTCTTGTCATTTTTACATAGGATTTTTATCAATTTAGTTAAATCTGCCATACATACATTAATGACAGGGGAAAAAAAAATTAAAATCCACAGTTTTAACCAAAAAGAAGGGATCGCAGTGTGGAATCTGAAGTAGCCGGATTGACTAATATGACCTGATAAATTCCACAACAATACAACAACCAGAAATTCTTAAGCTTGTTCGATCGAGCTGATTTCGTTTGGAACGAAACCATTCTAATCGATATAAGCCGCAATTCAGTTAAGTTTTAAAGCAAATTTGGTTCTACGGGAATCGATAACTCGACGAGTTCAAAGGCGTTGTTCCGGTTTGGTCTCACAGGGGAATTTCCCTTCAAAAGACAGGAATTTCTAGACCAGGGAAAACCCCGAGCGTTTTGCGATTTCCCCAAGATTTCAATCGATGGTTTCGAAATCAAAAGTTTAGATTTCACTGCCAACAATTTTCAAAGAAAATGGACATTTTCACGAACGACGAAATATTCCACATTCAGGGATAAATAATTCACTCAGCGTTCACAGTAATAAATAACATATCCAATAGTTAGTTCGCCGGGTTGTGAGTTTAAACACGGTACGACTTGGAAGTATTTTTTAACCCCAAAATCCTGTTCTCTGGACCAAACAGGAATGAACGACACATATCGAATTTAAAGCTGACAAACTATACTTTAAACCTAGATGCGTTTTGCTGAAGGAGATAAAAAAGAGACAGAAATAAAGAGGTTTTTGTAAACAGTAGTCCCCTCACCAAACCATTCCTTGCGCTCCAGATCCGATGAGCTGTAGATTGCGGTATCGCTTCAACACGGTAAACACGGTGTCGCCAATTTGTATAGAATAGAACATGTCTGCGGATAAACTTAAAATGTTCTTCAATCCACCATCACTTTTCTCTCCCACAACAACCTTGTCAAAAGTCCTCCACAGAATAGGAATAACTCCACAACACTCCAACATCAGCGATCATCTGTCGGCCATAATGAGATATGGACCATGGCTAACAGCGCATGCGTTAATTCTGACCGTTCTGTTCGATTTAGTACTGGGTTCTAAGATAAACTCGTCTCCAGGTCCTGGTTGATGAAACAGACCCACTGTACTGTCACAGCTGTCACAGTGATTTGGGTATCTCCGAGTTTTGGGTTCCCCCGTACCCAAATCCCTTGTGTTTTGGGGATCCCCAATGGGATACACAGAAAACCTTTTCGCTAATTTGTACGATGTACTAGAATCAACTATTCGCGGATTACTCCCGAGACATGACCAGAACGATCTTGGCCAAAATATATTTTTCTTCTATCATTTAATTAGGATTCAGAACGAACAAGAGTCTACTCCACTCATGGTGATGGCATTTTTATTTCTATTTTTTTCATTGCTAAATTACACGTGACTGCTGGACCGCGCACTGACGACAGGTAAAATTTCAATACCATTAAAGACCATTAAAGATTACAGATAATACATGAATTAGTCATTGGCATCAAGAATTTAACAAACTATGAAATCACTCAAAGCTAAAACTTAACTTAACTTGGCTCTACACATTGAAAAGGTATAGAACGTTCTCTGTAAACCTGACATATTCACTACACTGCGAAAACTTCACGCTGCCGAAAGATTGCCAGTCGACTTTCACACAAGCACTTGGGCAACTAGCAGTGGATTGATAATAAACCAGTGGGGACATTTTAATTTCTAAAACATGCAAAAAAAAGTGTTACAAGAAAGCATTACAGCATAAACAGTTTCAGCTGCGAGTCAAACGATCACGAGAGCGAGGCCTGACTACAATCAATCAATCAGTCAATACTGTAGGGCCTTAATATAGCGAAAAATATAAAAGAAGAAACCGAAACAAGGTAGGATGATTTTTTTGAAATTGTACTTAATTTCGGCTGGCCAAACCAGCCTTCTTCAGGTACAATGAAAATTTCACATTGGGACGTGTTTTTATGTACCATATTTTCGTAAAACCGGAAATACATAAAACTACTTGACAGTGTAAATTAAATATACTGAAGCATATGGTAAAATAAAGTAATGAAATAACATAATAAAAGGAAACAAGTAATATGTTTCTTTGCAGATGTTCAGACCATCGGGATCAATTGTTCTGCCTTTTAGAATTCAAAAAGCTTCCCTGGCCTTACGGATATAGTACCATGACAGAACGTCATGCAAACATAACGTTACAGTACCCTGTCTGAAATAGTGAGCCATCGTACAAAGTCTGTTGGCTCTGAAAAAATTTGCAGTGGCTGCAAAATCATGTTGCCCGTATAACCCTCAAGTGCGACTCTTCTAGATGTTTCAGAGTTGGCTGCCTATCAACACTGGAAGTGCAGTCTACAGTTCCTCAATGTAAAAAGTCTCCCATTCCTTTGGTGGAATACCTGCATTATAATACTGACAGTTGACTGTGCCATTGCCACCCTTTTTCTCGGAATAAACTTCTCTTCCGTCTAAGCGTATGTAGCATTGAGTGAAGTGACCACTTCTGAACGAGTAGCCGCCGTTTGATTATTTTTGAAGAACAAACACTTCCCAAGCACCAGGATTAAACTGACAGTTCACTTCACCTCCACCATCGCTGTCAAAGTGTTTCATTCCCTTGCTGTCCAAGCGAATGAATACATTTTTCCACTTGGCGCTTTCGATCACCACTTTGCAGGTACATTCACGCGCCCGGGAAGGATTTATTTCCACAGGGTATATGTAAAATCTCTCGATGACAAAGCTGGTTTGTACTTACAGTTGACAATACCACTTCCGGGTCCCAACCATTGAGTCACTCCACGGCCATCACACCGAACGTAGACATCGGGAAATGCCACCGACCGCAGCGTTTTGGGCTTTAGGCCATCCGCACGTTGCAGAAAACGGGATACCATCTCAATTGTGAATCGTGGAATGGTGTAAGGACAACTTGCACAGCTACGTACACCGAGAACGGTCCAAAACCCATCGTACCATGTATAGACGGTACTGCCATTTAATCCACCGCTCGTTAGATGGTGCATGTAGAGCACCCTGTTGGTGTAGCTGGTGATTTTCCCCCCAGTTATCCACATGCTTCCTTGTGGTTTGTCAGCCGGAAAGCCGCAGTTCATCACCAGGCGGCTGTCTAGCTCTTCGTTGTTGAGGATCGCTGACCAACCGAAGCCATCTACGCAATCACCGGGTCCTGGAAGGAGAATCAGACCGTAATCGTGGCTGATACTCCCTGAGTTGATATATTCTGGAGATGCATACAAGTCGTCAGGTCCAACTTCCACCGCCATCTGTCCTGGAAACTGGACAGTGATTCTGGCAGCGTACGCTCCATCAACAAAGGTGCAATTTCCGCTCGTGACAACAGCAGTGTGTCCTAACTCAGGGAGATGAATCTTGAATCCACTTGCGACAAACTTCTTCCCCTTAACGCTTTCCACTGTCAGGAAACAAATCCATTTGTATGGGGGAGAGGTCGGTAGTGGCTCCACCCTAGCACGGTCATCTCTCGCCCAAACGCTGCTCGGCGCAGTTGAAGACGAATCTTGCAATGGCGACGCTGCCATTTCTGAAGTCTCATCGGAGGGAGGCCCAAAGCTACGTCACGCAAAATATGGCGGTTCTCGTCCCCAGAGCTAGAGCCGCCTGTCTTTCTTAGTCGATAGGGCCTTGGCGCGAGGAAGACAAACCTCTGGGAAACGACGGCTTACTTTCAAAAGGAGCTCAAATAAGCACTAAATTATACGCCAATATTTGAAATATATGAAATAAACAGTGGAAAACGCTCTATATCCATCGCTTTCGCTAGATCAGGCCGACGCTGAAAGAGAAGAAAAATTAACAGCAAGGTGCTGGGTACGAAGTCGAGGCGGGAGGGATAGGTGCGGAACACTGCTCTATCTTACGGTGCGATGATTACATGTACAAGGCCAAAAAACTTTTCAGTTTTTTCTGAGTTTCGCAATATTCATTTTACCGGACATATGGCTCCCTATCTGAGATAGACTCTTTGGTCTATTTTACGCTTCGCGCTTTTCACACAAAGTTTAGTCTAGTCAGCAAAATATTTCGGCTNTTTCCACAGGGTATATGTAAAATCTCTCGATGACAAAGCTGGTTTGTACTTACAGTTGACAATACCACTTCCGGGTCCCAACCATTGAGTCACTCCACGGCCATCACACCGAACGTAGACATCGGGAAATGCCACCGACCGCAGCGTTTTGGGCTTTAGGCCATCCGCACGTTGCAGAAAACGGGATACCATCTCAATTGTGAATCGTGGAATGGTGTAAGGACAACTTGCACAGCTACGTACACCGAGAACGGTCCAAAACCCATCGTAACGTGTATAGACGGGACTGCCATTTAATCCACCGCTCGTTAGATGGTGCATGTACAGCACCCTGTTGGTGTAGCTGGTGATTTTCCCCCCAGATATCCACATGCTTCCTCGTGGTTTGTCAGCTGGAAAGCCACAGTTCATCACCAGGCGGCTGTCATCACCAGTTCATCACCAGGCGAAGTCGAGGCGGGAGGGATAGGTGCGGAACACTGCTCTTTCTTACGGTGCGACATGATTACATGCATGTACAAGGCAAAAAAACTTTTCAGTTTTTTCTGAGTTTCGCAATATTCATTTTACCGGGCATACGGCTCCTTATCTGAGATAGTTATAAATTTGTAAGCGAAACTCTTTGGTCTATTTTACGCTTCGCGCTTTTCACACAAAGTTTAGTCTAGTCAGCAAAATATTTCGGCTGAAATAATCTCATTAACGTTCCTAATATATTGTGCTGTCATGAAACACAAACGGGTTTGACAACGGCTAGAAACATTACTTTCAAAGCACGAGCGTTTTTCTCAATTTTTCCAAATGTCTGGAGTGCGAGTTTCACGACAGTAAGATGCTAGCTTTAGCTTTCTTACTGGTAAAATTCTATGTGCTCTGGCAAAAAAAATAAAGCATATATTTGGTGTTGTTACTCTGATATAACATATCTTTTTAGCCAGTCAGGAGGAGCACAGATTCTAAACTTAATTAAAGCCCGTATAACGAGCTGTTTAACTACCCTATCATTTTCATATCGAGCTAATCACATAAACAAGAAAATCGAGTCCAAGGATTGTTAACATTGTATCAAACACGTTACATTCCCCACGCTATATGCGTTACGTTATGTGTTAATATTTTAATAATAATAATAATTCTATTTTTGCACTTATAACGCAATTTGTGACGTCACAAACTCTCGTTTCAAAAGGTCGAGTGCAAAAATGCATAATGATAAATTTCTATTATTCAGACGTTCTGTTGCTGAAAACTCAGAGAAATAATCAAATACAAGTCGTCCTTTTTCCGTTTCTCTGTTGGATTAGCCCTTCCTTACTATTGTATTTTATATCTAAACTACTCAAACGGTGAGCAGATTCGCAAAAAAGTCTAACAGGAATCGAATGATCGAGTGAATGGCTCCTCCCCATACCAACAACTTGGATTTTCCAAGTTAAAAATAACCGAACGGAAGACAG